CAGATCTTTCATGTTCCACAAAAAAGTCTGAAACCTCTAAACCAGTTAAGCAGTAGTGACTAAGATAATTAAGTACACTTCACATGATGTCCAGGATTTCTGGTGACCTTTACTCACAGTATCATCCCACTGTTTGGGAACTGAAGATCAAAAAGACTTGGCCTGACTCACAAGTGACTAAGCTGACAGAAACCAGGCCTCAAGATAATAAAACTGAGAGCAAAGAGAAGTTTTGTCTGCTCGTCACCTCCTGAATAGGAGCATCCTCCAGTTTCCAGAGCACTGAGTACCTTTTACATTCCACAAGATGGTGAAAGCCCAGACATTGAAAGGATCTTGGCTGTTCCTTTGTTGTCAGTGGGCACATGCAGAAGGAAGCAAGGAGTCCTTCTCCAGCTGTGCCACCAAGCCATAGGAGGCAGCTCCAGCCAGTCTTGTCAGGGTGACTTGACTCCTTCTCCAGGGAGGCTGTGTGGCAGCAAGGCAGGACTGTGCACGTAATTAAACCAACTCCATAACACACACGGTGGGAGAGAAAGCAGTCCCCAAGGCAGGCTAATGACAAGGACAGAGCCAGGCAAACAGCACTTTCAAGACTGTTTCTCCATCGATAATTTGAAAGGAATGCTAGGCACACTGCCATGCCACTAGTTTGTTCTGTGGAAATAACCTTTATACCTGCCTCTTTTAAAGTCCAACTGACTTGCATGTAAATTAATCCCACAAAGCAGATCTGCTCACCAAAAAAGCAGAGATCCCATCTGACAACACCAGGAAGGAGAAGACAAAACAAAATTCCGTAATTTATCCATCCATCCCAAACTTCATGACAGCATATGAGCCCTCAAAAGTGTAAATGCAAGAGTCCCATGAGGCACTCAGCCCCTGAACTGTTCAATAGATCAGAAGAGGCATAATTAACTGTTCCCATGGTCTCCACAGCTTGATCTGGTATGAATTTGTAATATTGCCCTTCCCCCATGTCTGATAAAAGCCACACAAAGAAACAAAGATATTAACACACTGCTGTGCAATATAACACAAATTGCAGGTAGAGTGCTACAGTATTAAAGCAGACATAGGAGAAAGTAAATGCATTTAAAACTACTCCTGGAACAATTATTTACTGAACAGAAAAAAAAAAGAAAAAGTAAAAAATATCTTGTTGTAACAGCATGAAGTAAAGGGAGGGGAAAAAGAAAAAGAAAAAGCACTCTGGGAACCTCAAGGCAGTGTTTTCTATTTTGCATAACAACAGGTCAGAGTCTGTAAGAGAAGCGCAAGAGGTTTGAGAAGTTTAGGGCTAAGACAGCACAGCAAAACAATCACCTAAGCTTTATTTAGCATTCTAGACAGAATACTTTAACACTGAGTACCACATTAAAGTGTTTGAATATAGTATTAAAACTTTTAAATTATTAACATTAAGTGGATATTCAGTTAAAAGAACACTTAATAAACTAAATCCTCCAATTAGATGAAGATATGCAGCATGCTCTTTGAAGAGCTCAGTCTGAAACCCCATTCCTGCACTGAAATCCATGAAAGGGGCCAAGGAAAACAGTGTTAATGACTGATAAACCTGATCAGAGATAAATAATTAAAAGACCACAGGAACAGCACTGAGATCCTACAGCTCACTTATTCCTCTCAAACTCCGCTGGGGGTCAGTTTGTTTATAAACTTACAGCTGCTTATCTTACAAAGCATAAGAGATTCACTTCTGCTAAAAGTTCTTTACTTAAACTACCAAAGAAGTGCTTCCTACAAAAATTCCCAGAGACAGACTACCTCAGTAACTCAGAATCCATACAGCAGCTCAAATTAACTGCAAAACAGCTTTAACTGTAGGGTTTTTTTAAAGGTGAAACACAGACATATCCAGAAACTAGTGAGCACTCTGCAATGAAAATATGTACTTGAAGTGCTCACTGGATGTGGCAGCTCCAAGAAGAACCCTTGGGGCAAGATGTTAGACTTTAGAAGGAAAGCACTACTCCTTGAGGTATCAAAGTTGCAGCGTTAGACTTGGAAGCTTAACTTGATTAGAAAAGAACACATGGTTATCAACAACTTGGGTGTCACACATTTCAGTCATTTCTGATGATAGAAGGCAAAACTTAATAAGGAATTCAAGTGCTCTCCAGTTTGCCAAGTTAGTACCTTACAATACAGCTGTGGGTCTGGATCCATCCCAATTTCAAGAGGCCCCAGGAACCAATGCACATAATTCAAATTGAAAAATTAATCATTATCTAGATCAAGGGGGGGTTGATCTAAAAAGCTCTCTGGGTATTAAAGAGTAGCTCAATCTACCACATCCCACATTCTGACAGAAAAAAAAAAACAACCCCCAAACATTTATCCAGCATGCATAATGACCCAAATTATTTCTCAATACATGCTCCTTTTAGGGTAATAATGTAAAATAAAAGGAGAGATACCAATTATGCTGTAGAAAAATATGCTATTTTAGAAAGTGTTTCCAGCTCCTTTTCACTGCTTAACAGTACCAGTCACACTCCCACAAGCCTTCACTGATGAAAGGTGAGACAACCTCACACAGCTTGCCAGCATTAACCCTGTTATTACCTTCATCAGTACAGCTACACACAAATTACTTCTCAGTACACCCTCGTGCACACTTTCAATCCCATTGTCCTGACACATGGTTACAGCAGCAGTTTAGCTCCTATCTGTCATTACCACAAGGAAAACATTCCCATTTCAGGGTAGTCTCTCAAGAGCATGAGTAGTTATGCTGCTACAGCAATTTCCCAGCTTCTCCCTGGCAGCTGCTCAGAGGTGAATTCCTGGCTGGGCTCACATTGCCTGTATTTCCCACTTGGGGAACAAACTGTGGTGTTTAATCCTTTGCCCACGCTCTCTTCTGGAGCACAGGAGATGGACCTGCAGCTGAGAGTTAAAAATCATATACAGATGATTTCATTTGTAGGGTGGGGAAAAGAAGGAGACACCTTAAACTTTAAGAAACAAAACATTTTGTAGATAGTTTAGGGCCAGCCTACCACTTCTCATTCAAACAATGAAGAAAAAGATACTCAAGTTATGAACACCACACTACTGAACAAATAAAAGAGCCCTCATATCCTGTACCCTCCCTTCTTCAAACCCTTCTTCTCTGCCCATCTCAAACTTTTAATTTTTTTGTGAAAAGAGAAATGAGATTTTTTTTATTATTATTAACTAAAGACAATGAGGAAATCTGGAGAAAAGCTTTTTAAGCGGAATTAAAAGTTCTAATACTCACAATACTTACATTTTTATTCCTTAAGCCACTTTCAACCCTCACAATCCTTTCATTATTCGCAGTAAACATAATGTGAAAAGGCCGCATTCATCTCTTTATTTACGTGTTAAAAACCAGAATCCCTAATGAGTTGAGTCATCAGCCAAAGAGAAGTCTGAGCCACCGGGGCAATGCATACTCTGGAACTTGTCACCTGCAAACGCTGATGGGATAAGACTGCGCCTGTTTGTTTTCTCCTTTATTTGAACTCAGCGACAAGGAACTCACAGCAACAGCATCTCTTGAAGATTTCACTGATATATGAGGGCGCTTTCCTAGCTCCCTTCTGACATGGATTGAATCAACACCTTACTATATTTACTGCTTGTTTTTGTAACTTTTTACAGGCAGACAACACCACTGTTGCACAACACATTGGCTATTTAATCTAGTTGGGCTCATGTTCTGTCTGTTCCTCCCTCATTAGCTAGAGCAATCGTCACCCAGCCTTCTCTAGTGTTGTGCGAGATCAAATTATCGCTCATTATTTCCTCCTAATTGCAGAGGAAGAACCTCACACCTACAGCAAAACAAGCTTCCCTGAAACACCCACATCCTTCCAGCATGGATTCCCAGTTTCACCTTTCAGCACAGCTCCTTTCTGGATTGCTTCAATTAGTTCCTTGAAGGGTTAAACTAGAAATAATCTTTAATACAAGAATGCTGTTGAAAGAACCACCTATGCGTGCAAAGCTACTCGGTAAGACAGGCCACATCGCCCGGGGGAGGATGGCAGAGAGAACACTTGAAAGCACCCTCAGCTTGCACTAAATAAGTATTAAGCTTGTCGGGATTTTCTGTACATACTCCAGTCTACCAGAACAACAGATTATGGATTTCACAGGGCATCCCTGCCACTAAACCCAGTGGCAGGTGTACCTTCAAAGGAAACTATTTTACGTCACCACTTTCGCATATATTGTGCTGGAAACTAAGGAAAAGCTGCCGGGCTTTGCTTTCATCCAATGCAACTGACAAAAACGGCGCAGTTTTAAAATTCATGGTAAAACTCCTGAGAGGAGGCGGTGCTCCGTGTGCCCTTTGAAAGTGTTGGAACAGAGACACCTCCCAGAGCCGGGCAGGTTTAGCACACACCGCTCCCGAAACTCTGCCGGCCGAGGTCGGGAATACCTGCCCCGGGAGCTCGCGGGCACTGTGACCCGCAGACAAGGCGGACACCATCTTCCTCCGGGAGCACGGGCACTGCACGGCCACCCGCACGGCTCAAAACAACTTTAAGAACTTCGTACCATTAAAAACAAAAAAAAACCAACAACCCAACCGACCAAAAAAACAGAGGAGATAAGCAGGATCCGTGCGAAGCGCCCATTTAGCCCGCGGGAGGGCGGGGAAGCCGCATCCCCCGGCAGCGGGGCCAGGGAAGAGCCCCGGGCGCTGCGGGCCCCCTCACCCCGCGCTGCCGCCGGCCCGCGGCCCCCCCGGCCCTGGCCCGGCTCCAGCGGGCCCGTCTAACAAGTTGATCCCGGCGTGAAAGAGGAAGAAAAGGAAAACCTGGGAGGGGGAGGGGAAGCCCCTGCGCGGCCGCGGAGCCGGGACCGAGCGGGGGAAGGCGGGCAGGGAATGCCGGAGGGAAGGAGCGTCGCCTCCCTCCCCTCTCCACGGCCGCGGGATCCATTTTCCCTCCCGCTGCCCCGCTCCAACTTTCCGCTGGCCGCGGCCCGGGACTCACCGGCATCATCTTGGAGCCGAACCGCATGGGGGCGGCCGGTGCCGGCCCCGCCACCCGCAGCGGGAGCGGCGGCCCGGGGGGCGGAGGGGCTGCGCTGCCGCCGGGGCGACCTGTTGCGGGAGGCGCCCGGCCCGGCCTCCGCTTTGTTCCCAGCGGGAGCCGCTCTCCCACCGCCGCCTCCACCCCCGGCTCCGCTCCGAAACTAACCCCGGCCCGGCGAGGAGGAGCCGCCGCGCCCCGCCCGCCGCCCACCCCCGGGAGGGGCCGGCCCAGCCCCTGCCCCCGCCGGGGCTGCCGGCGCGGAGCTCCGCGAGGGAGGTCGGAGCTGCCGGGGCTCGGGCAGTGCGAGATCCGTGGGTGTCCCCACGGGTCAGCTCCTCCTGCGGGTTTCGGGGCCCCACGGAGGGCAGGGGCACACGCAGCACGGTTTTCCCTGGATCGGCAGCGCGGGTGGAAGCCACCGGCCAAGGTCACAGCAGAGCCTCCCCCAGCCTGATCTGCGAGCCCCGGCCGTCCCTGCTGCCTCAGACGGACCGTCCTACAGATGCCTTTTAGCTCCTCGTGCACGCAGTCAATGGAGCATCCCTGCCCCAGGCACGTTTTATATTTTTTGTTATTTTTGGTTGGACCTGGTGAGCCGATCAAGTCGCACCTCAGTGAGATGACAAAGTCTTGGTTGGGATGTCCAATAAACATCCCCATGAATCTTTTGCATCCACTTAAGAGGTGGAGGGAAAAAGTTCTCCCTTCTTTGGAGCAGTGTGCAGGACACCCATGTCAAACCCAGGCACTTTGCTAGCAGCACTTCAGAAGCTCACGCAAGGCTTGGAAAAAAAAGTGTATTCAATCGGCACCGTTACAGGGCTTTCTTGCCAGGAAAACCAGCCCTATCTGCTCTTCCTACTGATATTAAAATCTTCGCAGTAATTAGGCAGGATAAAAGCGGAGGGGATTAGAAGTTCCCAGATGAAGGAAGAGCAAAACACGAACCTAATTTGTGTACAAACATCTATTTTTCTAAAGCAGTAAAGAAACTTTGAGAGCATTCAAGAAGCTTTGAGAGCCCTTCCCCCAGGAACTCCTAGGCGGGAAGCAAGCACTGTTTAATACAACATTGCGGCAGGGGGGCGGACAGGGATAAAATCCCGGCCGAGCCGGGCCGTGTCTGTCCCGGTCCCGATCCCGGGGCCGCTCCCGCATCCCCCCCGCTCCCCGCGCTCCTCGCCCCCGCGCCGCGGCCGGCCAATCAGGAGGCGCCGCCCTCGGCATGACGTCACCTCCTCCGGCGCCCATTGGGCGCCTCACGAACACAGCGCGGTGTCTCCTGGCAACGCCGTGACGTCACGGCCCCGCCCCGTCCCGGGCAGCGTTGTTCCCCGTTGTTCCCCGTGGTCCCGGCGGAAAGCGCGCGTCTCCAGCGGGGCTGCTGGACCAACGGGCAGCAAAGAGCTGCCAAACCCCAAAGCCCGCGGGCATCCCGCCGGCTGAGCGGGATCTCTGAACCCCAGCTCGGTCCCGATTTGCGCCCGTTCCGATTCGCTTCTCCAGTGCCCGCATGCATGGGTCAACCTACGCACAGAAGGTTTACAAAGCCATTTATAAAAGGCAAAGTTTTCATTTGCTGGATTTTTTAAAACTCAGACTTTAGACTTATATTACAGGATACAAATGTTACAGGTCAAAGCAAGCGGCAGTGGAGAATTGAAATTCTTAGAATCGCAGAGTGACAGAATCACTGAGTTTGGAAGCTCATCGAGTCATTAACCAATTAATTAATCATTAACCCAACAGTGCCACAACCACGTCCCTAAGCACCACATCTCCATGTCCTCTGAACACTTCTAGGGAGGGTGACTCCCTCACCCCCCTGGGCAGCCTTTGAGTTAAGGCATTTCAGTGAAGATATTTTTCCTAATCCCCAGTCTAAACCTCTCCTGGTGCAACTTGAGGCCATGTCCTCTTGCCCTATCACTTGTCACTTGGGAGAAAAGACCGACTCCCACCTGGCTACAACCTCCTTTCAGGGAGCTGTAGAGCACAAGGAGGTCCCTCTGATCATCCTTTTCTCCAGGCTGAACACCCCCCAGTCCCACCTCAGAAGCCTTGGTGCTCCAGACCTTTCACCAGCTTTGTTGTCCCTCTTTGGAAACACTCCAGCCAACGATTCTGCAAATCTCTGCTGAATTTTTAGAGGCATGTAGTTGGTAAGGGATAAAATTGAGTGTGATGTTTTAATATACTCCCTAAATACAGACACAAATAATTCTAATAATTAGAATATTAAAATAACAATCTAAAGTGTGTAAAATAAACCTGGAAATGGTTAGGTAAAAATCAAGCAGAAAAGGTGTTTCAGATGAGTGTGTGTGAGGTAGCCACATTTTGCTAGCACCAGCCTCTTGCAGGCCAATCCACAGAAGTCTCTTTTGGCTCAAGTTCTGACTTTGACATCTTCCACGCAGAACTCCAACCCCATCCCTGCTAAGGAAATGAAGCTCCAAGGGGTGCACCTTTTTCTTTCCAGCTCTGTGCAGGCTCTGTGACTCACACACTGCAATGAAGGCTCTCAGTGCCATCTGGTCTAGAGATCCCAGCTCCTCTCCAGCAGAGGGGACAGAGCTGGCCAGGACTGCAGGTCAAGCAGGGCCAAACCACTCGTACCCGCGCCTATCTTAGCAGCACTGCTCGCCCTCTCCACTGCACCTCACATTCCTGCCTCTCACAGCTACTCAGACATGATTTCACTAGAGAAGCACGGCATGAATTTCTCACAACAGGTTATTAATTACAGGACAGACTTTCTGGTTTATCAGCAGAGAGTTGATGGCTCCCCCAGAGAGGGCAGAAATATGAGGGGCTTTCTGAGCACAGGTTCAAGCTCCAGAGTGTCGACAGTTGGAGATAACTGAGTCATGCACAGGAGCATTGGCAAGGAGCAGCAGTTCCCAGTCCTGCATAGACAGAGCTGTCAGAAAAAGGAAGAGAAGTTGAGATCCACAGGATCTGGAGCCAATGGCACGGACAGCTGGAGCTCTGCACCTCTTGCCTGGTTCCCACTACTTTTGGTGGCCTAAGCAGAGCATGCTGCATTTGACTAAGGCCACATGCAGTTCTCTAGAAGTGATCACAGCAAGGGTTCTGATGCCTCAGGTTTTGGGGTTTTTTTTATTTTTCAGATTCTGTACTGCCTTAGTGTATAGTTCTGAGCTTCATAATAAGGGATAGTAAGCTGTCTTCACAGAGGAGGGAGACAAAACAATTCCTTCTCTACCTTTGGACCAAGAACAACTTATCCAGACCTCGGACCCAAGATCGTAAACAATGTGGACTGAAGAGAGAAAAACAAGAAGGATGGGACTGCATGGGCTGCAGCTGTAATTGGACAATTAACTCCAATGTGCTAATGGATCTGAACTTTAAAAAGTGAGAGACCTTGTGACTGGTTGTCCATTTTGTGACCATTTTGGGTTCATCTGGGGTGTAGTCCTGGCTGGGCTCTTGTGCTGCTCAAGGTGGATCCATTGAGGCCTTTTAATAAATCCCTACTTTATCCTTTAACTCCATCTAGCCTCTGTTCTAGGTCAGTCTTCACAAGGCATCATTTCAAGGGGAGCTCATACTCCTGGAATGGCTTGAAAAGTATCCAAGAAAAGGGAAAAAAGTCCACAAAACCACTAAACAGAAATGTAGCAGAATTATTATTCTTTCCACAGGAGATCAGCTTGATCTGAACCACAAAAACCTGCAGAGCAGAGACATTACAGACAGTATTGGTAAAGATAATCAGTAGAAATAACCAGCATCATCTTTTCTTGTCATCAGTCTTCCCATACAATGGGATCTGTAGGACAGGGCTGGAAAAACACTGCTGTATTTCATGCTCTCAGCACGCTACTTAGAACTAAAAACTCCACGCAATTCTTTCAGTGCTGCATCCAAGCAATTTTAATAGTAACTTCACATCCTCTGCTCTATCAGACTGCCCAGAACTACTTCCAGACCAGACAAGTCCCCTTTTACAGTCCTGACAAAAATTTGGAGGATTATCAGGTGACATTCCTTTTACAAGAACTCATAAGAATTTAAAGGGGAAAAATAAAAAAAAAGTTCTACCTTTCGGTTGTTTTTAATAAACCCTTAAATTCTTCACCAAAAAGCTGAATATGTTTCTTAGACTGCTTCTAAGGCAGTCATTTCAGAGAGTGTTTGACATAAATCAAGAGAGCAGCAGTAGCAATAGAAGAGGTACGGGAGGGCAGCTGTTTTAGATTTGCTGTCCACTGCCACCTACTGTTAAAACTCCACCAAATCAGACTTGTGAGCTCTAATTCCCCAAGGATATGATTTAAGAGCCCAGAAGGAAGGAAAAGCTTTGGAATTGAGATTGCTGGGGAGAAAAGAAGTAAAAAAAAAAAAAGGACATGCCAAGAGAATTGCTCACCTAAACTCATCGGGCTGTGGCACAGCAGCTTCATAACTTTGGATTCTTTCCAGCAATGTTGAAATCCTGGCACCTAATTTAGACAGCTACTCTTCAGCTCAAGATAAGGCTTTTCCAGGCAGTGATTCCACACAAAGACCTCGATTAGTCCGTGTTGTCAAACTTCCTCAAAGAGAAAATGCAGCTAAAGAAAACAGATGGCTTAACACTTTCAGCACCTACACAGAGTTCTGCTAATCCACCAGCTGCCCGCTTGTTGTTAGATTCATTTCCACTATTTAATGCTGCATTCCCATTTAATTTGTTTTCAAAACATCAGATAACAGACCTCACAGCAGAAACAGTCTGGGGGAAAACACGCAGCAATGACTGATCTATCTCCCAGCTGGAAAATAAAGTTCCCTAGTTCATAGAACCATAGAATCATTAACGTTGGGAAAGACCTCCAAAGCCATCAAGTCCAGCCATTAACCCAACATTGCCATGTCCTTCACAGCCATAGGGCCACAACTATATATTTTTTGAACACTTCTGGTGTAGTGATTCCATCACTTTCCTGGGCAGCCTGTTCCAGTGCTTGACCAAGTTCCAAAGTCTGCAGGTAAGATTTATGAAATCTTTTCAGAAATTTGCTAACAACATCAGCAAGGACATCCCATGTTATTCCAGTGGCTGCTTCCAAAGAAAAAGCTACATTCAAAGCAGCACACCAAGAAGCATTTAACAAGTGTAAATTTTAAA